ACAATTGTTCTGGTTAATCACTCCATCTCAATTCCAAAGTCTCTTGCTGTGCCTTTATTTAGACTACATCCATCTTAGAATATGTCTTAGTTAAATAGTATAAAAAGTTGCTAAAATCCCACCTTCCCCATGGATTCCTGATTAAAAACATCATCTTGTCTTTCCACTGGTGCTTGTATACATAATGCAAACATTTTTTAAATTTAGCAAATGTTCTAGTTGGCACCTGTCTCTGTTTTGGCTTAAGTTTCTCAGTGTCACTGCCATCCCTTACAGAGACTAATTTCCCCAAAGCAGAGAATAATTTATTTAAAACAATCCATTAAAACCCCTTCCATGTAGAAATAGAGAATAAATAATCTCTAAATACCAGAATGTATCTACATAAATAGACTCTTTTTTCCTAATCTGCACAAATCATGAGTGTTACCTTAAGGAGTAAAGGTTAATGACAGTATAAATAAAATGATGTTTCCTGTGAACTAAACTCTACATACAGAAAAGGTAAATTTCTTCTTTGTGTGAAATGCCAACTATTGAGTATCAAAAAATGTCAAATGGAGAGTAGGTGATTGTTGGTGACTATCTAGTCATACTGCAATTGAAGAAAAAACCAGTTTTTCAAAAGCAAAAGGACTAGTTTATAATGCAGGCTTCTCAAGTTTCTGCCAGAAAAATTTTTCCTCTGTCTCTATCTCAAGACAGTTTAACTCAAAAATTGACATTTTCCTTCATCTTAATAAAATATATTTCAACCTCAAACTCTAGGTCCTATGAGGGGTAAAACTATTAGAGATCACCATGCTTGTCAAAATTTCTGCATCTTATCAGATACATTCTTAATTGTAGCATTTAACTTTTATAATAAATAGACCTTATTTCATCACTACATATCCCTCTTTTGTAGGGTTGTATGCAAAATGAAGGTTTTATCTTTGTTTTTAATACCCAAAATAATTTTCTGTCCTCAAGATGGCTGAGTCATCAGGATAGAAAGTAGAAGTCAGTGATGGTTTTCAAAGAAAAAGGTTTATAATAAAAAGAAAAGAACAGATCAGTTAATTGTGGGATGGTTTGAAAAAAAATTATCTTAAAAATTTAGATTTTAGGACTCATACTGTAAGAGTAGAAAGAGCTAAGTCACAGAGACCATAAGAGAAGACCAGCAAAGCAGGGCCTGTTGGTTGACTCTGAAAACAATAATTCATTTTATTTGATCAGGGAAGGGATTAAGGATCACTGGAAAAAATGTCATGAAGGGAGTTCGCTGCAGAAAATAACTTTATCTTAGTCATATGGATATTTTGGAGGAGTTTCAAAGTTGGAAAAAGTGTGAGAAGAAAACTAGAATTATTGGATGTGACAAAGACAAGGAAAATTAATACTGAAATTAATAATAGGGGCCTGAAGTATTCAGATGTTTTTGCTGTATTTCGGTGGGCAAAAATGTAAACTCAAACAACTATAGATTACAAAGTATTTCTATAGGCCCTGCAAGTGAATAGGTAAAAGCTGAGATATGATATATTTTAGAGTAATAAACTGAGCAAAAATTAGAAGCCGTTATTGGCCTACTTTTCTACCTACAGCTTTCTCTCCTAAAGGCTTCCCTTTTACTCTAAAAAGGTTTACATTTTATAATTTTGTCAAAACTACAAGAGGATTGAATTTAATTTCCTATTGAAAAAAATGTTTCAAATGCTAAATGATGCATATTTGATTTTCTCAAAAAATATTTTTATAAAATTAATTTTGAAGTTCTATATTTCCAAATAGTCTGAAGTACTATGAAGATATCTGGAAGGTAACTGCTTATTTTACTGACTCATGAGGAGTTCATATATTTACTGGAACTAACACTGACACTGTGTCACATTAATTTTTGATTGTTAGAAGAAAATTCAGTGAGTATCGGATTTTACAAATAGTAGAGTTGGTGGTGTGAGAAAAAAAATGCAAGTGTTTCCTTATATCTTTACTAATAATATAGAAATTTAATATTTGCCTCCCTCAAATACATTTTAATAAAAAAGATCAAAATGAATTGCAATGTATAAATGGCCCTTCAGAAACAATTTTGAATATATGTTACCAAAGCTTAATAATCTCATCAGCTTTTTTTTTCCTTCATCTCCTCTGATGAGTTTCTATACCACTTATATAAATTGTCTGGAAACATAAATATATGGCAGTGTAATTTTTATATGCTTAATGTCTCCTTTTCTGTTTAGTGAAGAGAAAAACACCCTAGAAATAGCATAAAGCATATACCTTACGAAATAGAGTTATAACTATTTATGATTGTGACTAGCTGAAAGCATATGCTATATACTTTAAATGTTAAGAATGATGAAACTGTCACATTAGGAGCATGGTTTGAAGAACTCCCACAATGTTGCGGTTGTTCAAAAGTCTTGTTCATTCTTTATTACTGCCTTTATAATACTATACATTATACAACACCAAAGGAAGTATGGCCATTCTAAAGCTACAGCCTAAATTAGTTGACTTTTAAACATTACTGCATCTGAGGAAAGGGTGAAAAGCTTTTTTTTTTTTTTAAATGTGTTTATTTGTAAAGTTTATTTGGGGAAAAGAGTAGGGAGGAAAAATTAAGATAACAGTATAATTACAAGCTGAGGAAATGTTCATTTCGTCCAGCTCTTCTTTAAAATCTTGTTTTCTGTTATTATCTTAAATCAAATTTATATGAAGATTATAGACATTTCAGCAGCAAGCAGTTTGGGACTTGAAATATAGATAATGACATCGGTTTTTCTCTTCTAGTCTAATGTGTACAGAAATATACAAATTCTAGCTTGGCTAGTGGCCTCATCTTTCCCAATAGCTCTAAAATGAATCACCAACAGGTATGAAAATAAGTTAATCAACTTACATATAACAATCATTTAAAATCACAGCTAACAATGTTAGTCCAACTTCAAAGATGCTGCATTTTAGGCTGGAGAGATTTTTAAAGGGCTGGAGAGATTTTTAAAAGGACTATTGTACTGGAAATCTAATAATGTGTGTCAGAATATGTATGTCATATGTTCTACTTGCTTCAGTCGACCTAAACTGTAGAGAAAGAAGAAACTGCAAGATTATACTGGGAGGGTGGAGGTGAAGAAGATGGAGTATGCATCACTCGCTACAAGCATCATGGGAATCTGTGAAGGTAATCAGACTTGCACGGAGCCAAGATACCTTTCTATTGAGTATTTCAGTAACAGACTCAAACCAAAGTAACCTTTTAGGCAAATTCAAAGAAAGGGTTTTAATTAGTCATTCTTGCTTCTTGTGCACCGCCTGGCTCTTTCTTCCATCACTGAGAAACAGAGAAGACAGATGTTTGTTTCCCACATTCCAAAGGGCTTGGGGGTTGGTGGGAATCTAAGAGAGCGTGATTTCGATAGCAAATATGAAAAGAAGAAACAGAAAAGATGAGCCAATGCAGGACTTTGTCTTAGTCATGGCACCCATGGCACCTTAGCACAACGCACCACACACGGAGGCAGTTGATAATTAATTCTGCTTAATTCAATACACTCTCATGTGTACTGTGTTTTGCAGTTACGAAGCACTTTTCACATATTAGAAAAGAAAAAACTAATTAAATGAGAAATAATGGGGCAAGTAAGGGAATAAAAGGAAAGCAAATGTATAAAGAAAAATCCATAAGAATAAGCAAGAGGCCGAAAATGTTCGGAAAAGGAGGAAACAAGATTGAGTTTCTCTCTGTCCCTTTTAATCACTTCCAATCACCCCACCTTTCGTTCTAAAGTACCTGGAGCTTAGAAAGTCTGCCAGCTAAGCAAGCCCCCCAAAGGGGCTCCCTCGTCTTCGCAACACGCATTTTCACAAATGATAAGCCTTTGGCTCCTGACTAATCTACCTACAGTTTGTGCTTAGGAAAAACCACAAGCAAAGCTCGAACATCTCCCAAGTGTGGCCAGGAATCCTTTATTTCATCCCATCCATCCCTGTCAGCATTCCGCAAATTTTCGGAATCTTGGTGATGGGGGGAGACAGTGGTCAGGGGGTGAGGGGAATCCTCTACAAGCCCCTTAACTCAGACAACAGAGGGAGATAGTGAGGCAGGAAAACCCAGGGACTAAAGAAAAAGCCCACGTTTGCGGCTAGGAGGGCGAGTGTCTACAACTGTGGTTATGAGAAATTGCCAGGGGAAAAAACGGGCGAGTCTTCAAGATGGAAGAAATGAGGGGGCACTTGAATGCGCATCACCTTACACCTGGCGTCAAGCCCCCAATAAAAAGCCATGAGGTCCAAAGCCTCAACCCGTGAGAAGAAAGAGGCAAAGGACGTGGGGAGTCGAGGGGCAGGGGTTTGCGCAGGAAGGAGCCCGCAGATCCCAGCGCGGATGCTGTCCCAGGGGAAGCATGTTTTCCTCTCTCCCAAAGTAGCGCATCCCCCGAGCATCTTCAGCCCAGACTGGGGGAGTTCCCCCGATCCAAACCTGGGCAGCCGCGTCCTGACCCCATTATATGGGCTTAAAAGTTGTAGGGAGAGTTGGCGCTGGAAAAGGCACCTGGCAGGGGCGGCCACCGAGGGGGCGTTAGGTTTCCCAGGAACAAAGGGGCCCGGGAAGGAATGAGCAAAGGAGCAGGTCCCTGGGGGCTCCTCCCTGAGGGGAGAGACAAGGGTCGCCACGTCCTCCCGGCCTAGGAGCGCCGTGAGGAGCGGGGAGGAGGCGAGATGTACTGGGATTCCGCGGCCCGCCTTCTAGCCCTATCCGATAGCGCCGGCACCCCCCGCTCTCTCCGCGCCCCTCTCTAGCTGGGGAGCCACCACTGAAGACAATAGGAGATCGGGATTCCGAGCCCCGCCTGCCCCGGAGGACCCTCGCCTCTCCCCAGCGCACCACGATCAGCCAGTGGAAGCCCCGATAGCGGGCTCAGCCGCGGTAGGCGCCCCTTCCCTCTCGCGCGCCGGTACCCGGCGCCCCAGGACCGCCTCGTCCTCCGCACAGCGGGCATTACCTTTCATCCAGTCCACTACTTGACTCGGAGACCATTTGCTCACGGGTTCCATGATCAGAGCCATGGGCACGGGGTCGCTACCGCGCCGGGCGCGGAGATCAGACACAAAACGAACTCGGTAGCCCGAGCCGCCCTCAGGTGGGGTCCCTTGCTGGCCGCTGCCTCGCTGGGCGGGTGGCGAGAAGAGGGCTTTTGTGTGTCGGGTATCGCGGCTGCAATGTGTCTTAGCAAACGGCGGACAGCAGCGGCGGGAGCGGCGACGGGGAGAGAAACGCTCTGGGGTCGCGGCTCTGTGCGGACTCTCTGCTCGCTCCCCGCAGAGGCGGCTGCGGCTGTTGCTCCGCCACTCCGCTCCGGTCTCCGTCCCTCCAGGGCTTCAGTTCACGGCTTGCACTGCCGAGGGTCGAGGCTCTGAGAAAAGGAGCAGCCGCCGCACGTCCGCAACCAACTTGCCCGCTCGCCTCGCGCGCGGGAGTGAAGCCCGGGGCACCACAAGCTGCCCGGCGGAAATGACGAGGGGCCTCCTGCCACCCAAAATATCTCTCCGCAGCCCTCGGGTGCGGGGCGCGCGCGCCACAAGCCCCCCGCCCGCTCGCTGCCGCGCGGTCCCGCCCCCGGGGCCGACGGCAGGCGCGCGAGGCGCGTGCGCGCTCCAGCACGAGGCCCGAGCCCGGGGTCTGCCTGTCAGTCAGGCAGGTGCGAGCGGTTCACAGAATCGCGTTCCCGCCGGGCGGGCCGCCCCGGGATAGAGGCGCGCTAGGAGCGCGTGCGCAGCGGTGTCGGCGCGAGTCCCTACCCTGGGGTCAGTCAGTCATTCGCCGGCGGCTCCGAGGGGCCTCTGAGCGGACGTGGCGGCTGCGGGACGAGCCGTCCACCAGTTGAACGCAGAATACTCAGGCTGCTGAGGAGGTACCTGTGGCCCCGCCGTCAAGGGGAGGGGGACACCGCCAAGCGCGGGGGTTACAGCGAGAGCCCGGACTTTCCTCGCTCACGCCCTCCCCGCGGCTGAGTGGGCTTCCGAGGTGATTCCCGAGCCCCGTGCACGCCTGCGGAGACGGGGGTGTGGAATGCCGCGGACGGGAACCGGCTCGCCAGACGGAAACGCAGCGATGACGAGGCAGGAGGGCCGGTGCTGTCAGACCGCCCCTGGTGGTGCCCGGGGCCTGGGAAGTCAGGCGTGGAGCCTGGAACCTGCAAGTGCTGGTCGTAGTGATACCGAGACAGGTTCGGCCCCACATGCCTTTTGAAGGGCTCAGTGTCGGGTTTTCGGCCAACTCCTCAAAGCCGATTGTGCCCAGTACCTATTTTACGGGATGTCCTTTTGTTTTCAGATAATCTTATAAAAAAAACTGAGGGGTAACACGGATTTAAAATAAGTGATAAATTGTAGACACGATCCTTCAAAACTCACGGTCTTCAGAAATCTTACAAAGGCTACTGTGCAACCCTTAGTAAAAACAGTTTGCCTAATGAAGCTTCACTTTAAACGACAAATAATCCTAGAAAGTATAGATGCAAACTCTCTACCACCATTAAAGATGTTTTCTCTTTGTCATTCTTAAATAGCCCCGTTGAGTAAAAGAGAAACTCATTTTATTTTTATAACCATTTCAAGAATGTCAATTGGTTTTGCCAGTTTCTGCAGTGACCCATTTTCTCTAGTTCTATTGCATGAGCTGCAGAACTGCCACTTTTCTCAACTGACTTAGTTGATATCCAGCCCCCACCACACCTAAAAATAACTAAAACCACAGTAAAAATATTTTGATGTTTTCAGGCTTGTGATACAAACCAAGTAAAACTTAAGATGGCCTGTCTGTATGCTTGTTTATTTTTCTAATAATCCAAACTTAAAAGTACATGGGAAGAAATTTAGGTTATCCAGACAAATCTAGGTTCAGAGGGTGCAGGTACAGCACCTTCCATTCACAATCCAGATCGTGGTTGTGATTTACAGTTTTTTTTTTTCTTAGCTAATCAGGTGTGAGAGACATTTTGGAGTGCTTGCCCACTACATTCCAATGGAGTCTCAGAACATTGCAACAGTATTTTCTAGAAAAGTTAATTTTTAGCATCAGTAATTTATATATAGAATAGCTTTATGTTCAGAAATGGAGTGGATGCAAACCCACTGTGAGTCATTAGAGGTTACAGTCATAGGGAGGTGTTAAAAGTAATTTTATCAATGAGGCGCCTGGGTGGCTCAGTTGTTAAGTCTCTCCTTTTGGCTCAGGTCAGGATCCCAGGACCCTTGGATTGAGCACCCCATGGAGCCCCGCAACAGGCTCTCTGCTCGGGAAGCCTGCTTCTCCCTCTCCCACTCACCCTGCTTGTGTTCCCTCTCTCACTGTGTCTCTCTCTGTCAAATAAATAAATAAAATCTTTAAATATAGTAATTTTATCAGAATAATACTGCTAATAATAACTGAACATTTATTGAGCAATGTGCAAGTATGTTACATACATTTTATCCTCGAAACAGCTCTGTCATTAGCCACATTTTACAGATAAGAAAACCTTGGCTTTCACATTCACTTCCTCTTCCCAGAATCTATTACACATTGTTCAATAAATGTTGAATAAACTAACAAATAAGGCTTAAAGAGGGTAAGTAATTTGAGGTCATGACACATGATTGTAATACCAAGTTAAGGTGATTTCAGAATATGACCTTTTAAGAATAGTAAGAAGATTTATATCATAAAATTAACAGTACTTTGAAAGGGGAAGGTCCATTGAATGTTAACCGAATGTGTCTCATCAGAAAGTTAACTACAAAGGAGTCTGGCAGTCACCTTAAGTGTTCCTAACCAGCAACTGTGAGCATGTAGGAAGTGACCAAATTTGGCTGAGACACCAAACTGCATATTCTGACTGAGCTTGCATGACAAGCAAACGGACTATATATTACAAGCAAGTTTAGAGTGAGATATTGTTTGCATAATGAATAAAATATCAATCAAAACAAATGCCAAAGATCAAGATACAGTAAAATTAAAAAGATACATATTTCATGAAAAGGTTGGTGTGAAAAAAGATGAAGGAAAAAGATCCCAGGGAGAGGGGATTTTAAAGAAGTCCCTACATCGAACTAAGTTGTACATATTCTCTTATTTATGTTGCAGTAAGGAATTTATTTAGTCTAATCACCTGAGATAACTAAAATAATTCTAAGAACTAAGAATGATGGAGTCAAAATGTTGGTGTGGACTTAGACTATCTTAGAGTTCACCAAGGCCTTAGGTATTTTTCCTAAGTTCTCTTTGAGGTTTCCCCTATAAAAGATGCAAAAAATAGGGGCGCCTGGGTGGCTCAGTGGGTTAAGCCGCTGCCTTTGGCTCAGGTCATGATCTCAGGGTCCTGGGATCGAGTCCCGCATCCGGCTCTCTGCTCGGCAGGGAGCCTGCTTCCCTTCCTCTCTCTCTGCCTGCCTCTCTGCCTACTTGTGATCTCTCTCTGTCAAATAAATAAATAAAATCTTTAAAAAAAAAGATGCAAAAAATAAAAAAAATTGACAATGTAATAGGCACTCATTATTTCATTTAATTAGTTCAGAGCATAACTGGCTATTCACTCAAATATCCCTAATAGAGAAGAAAAAGGATTAAATCATCATTGCCTTCTCCCTTTCATTCTTAACTCCAAATGACTCAGCTAAATCTTCCCTACAATTTTCTTTCCACAACCTTTCAGATAAACTAGGTTTTATATTCTTCTGCCTATTGTTCAAAATGTTAATGTCTTGCCCCATGTTTGTAAGTATAATATAACATGATTACATACAAACTGTGTGGCAGCTTAACTTTCCCTTCTCTTAATGCACAACACAATTCCAAAGATGATGGGAAAAGGTATGTTGTCATAAAATATACATCAAAATATAATGTACTAAATGGCATACATACTTCAAGAGCTTGGATATAAAAGCAGAACTGATCCTTTGGAAAAAAAACTTGGATTCTTTTTGGAAGCAGAGAGAGGGTAAATACTAAGTTAATTAAATTAATTGGAAACCTAAAACTTGTGAGTTGTTTGTAACCATATCCAAACAGATAATTTTAAATACCCCTTTAATCCAATTGTTATAGTTTTGCCTTTTTATTCTTCTTCCTCTAGGTTTCAATAAAAACTTAAAATCTCTTAACCAAAATATTTTCAGTTAAGATTTTATAGTATATGTAATGAGTCTAAGTACTTGAGATGTGGAATTTACAAAGGTCCTCTGACTGGAATCTAGGTGATTAAAGGTTCTGACTCCTAGGGTTTGAGTCAGATAGGGAGGAAGCCTTCCACTGGAAGGATCTTCAAGACTTTGTCTCTTTGGGGTCATAGACAGGAGTAAATAATGTGAATGTTTCTTCTGGAGCTAAAAGCTGAATATCTCTAACCTCCACATTTTTCAACCTAGGTTATTTTATAGGGGCCTTAACTGTCAATTCCCATGTCTTTTACTAAGAAGCTAGATCTGAGTCAGACTGCAGACTGCCATGCCAGACATATTTTGATGTTTTTAGTTATTTAACATTTAGACAAAATGTCTTGTAGAGCCCTTTCTGGTGATTTTCCCAGATTACTTAGATTGTGTTTTGCTGTAGCTATCTGTTTAATTTTTAGATTTTTTAAATGAGTAATATTTTATCATAAATTAATTTTTTCCTCTTATCTTTCTTTTTTTTTTTTAAAGATTTTATTTATTTATTTGACAGAGAGATCACAAGCAGGCAGAGAGGCAGGCAGAGAGAGAGGAGGAAGCAGGCTCCCCTAGAGAGCAGAGAGCCCGATGCGGGGCTCGATCCCAGGACTCTGAGATCATGACCCGAGCCGAAGGCAGCGGCTTAACCCACTGAGCCACCCAGGCGCCCTTTTATCTTTCATTTTTGAATGATGAGTGACAAGTGACAACACAGAGAGAACAGGTGTGAGGGTAGTCCATATTCTAAAACACAGGAAAGGATAGGGGCCCTCTTTTTTTCACTTAGTTTTGCCCAGATCTTTACCTGTAATTTCAAAAGTAGGTGTACTATGCTGGCACAAGTTGTATACCTTGATCAGAAAAATTAACTA